ATCAATGTCCATCAAAAATCGATCAGAAATTAACATTTAACACGCAAAAACATCAAACATAGATACTTGGAACGTTGCTTGAAATTCACAAATAAATTACAAACCTTCACCATCGGTACAACGGTTCTTGAACATCGAAACAAAAGTATTCACGCGTTGATATTTAATAATCAACTCGAAAATAATCGCCAACTCATGAAATTCAACAATTATCAACAATTATCGAATCAGAATCAAGCTTTGACGCATAAAATCAACAATGAACAACAAATATCACGTTGATGCTCACGAGATTTAAACAATTAAGCAAGTGTTCATCTGATTCCACAATTGTCCATAATTATTAATCTCAATAATCAATTGATCTCACAATTCAAGATTCAACTCATGTAAAATAGTTTAATTTAATAATTCACCAATTAAATTGCATAAAACAATTAAATCAAGTAGGAGGAATCAAAGAATTATTGAATCGACGCGAAGAGGTTGATTGGAGAATCAAATCAAAGAAGAGAGGAGGAAGATACCGCAGAGGGAGCACTAGCGGAGGGAGGCAGACAGGGAGTTAACCGATGATGGGGAAAGCTAGCTGGTGGGCCGGTCTTTGAAGGGGAGAGAGAAGAGAGATCTTGAGAGAGTCTTCTTGATCTTGAGAGAGAAGACATAGCTCTTGTGATGTTTGCGAGTGATTTTTGTATAATGAGTGAAAAGGGATTCTCAAATTGAGTGGAGAGAATATATAAACAAGCTCTGATGTCTTGTTTGGAAAATGGAATAAAAAACTAGTTTCCCTTGGTTTTTTAAATAATGCAGAATTTTTAGCTTATTTTTGTGTACAATTCGAGAATAACCCACAAGCTCATAACTTTCGATGGATAATTTGAACTCGAGTCCTGAAGCAAAAATGTAGATGACGAAATTTATGACGTCGTGCCAAAAGAATCAACCTGATATGATAATAATATACAGAGTTATGAATTTTGCAATAGCGAGAAACTTGCAGCCAACTTTCTGTTCTTTTGGTTGCGCGGCTTTTCCGCTGTACAGTTGGAGAAAAAAGCCATAAACTGAAGCCTTCGGAGTATGGTGCAAACTCAGGACCTGAAGCAAAGTTGTAGATAACAAAATTTCTGATATCATGCTTTGAGAATCGTCTCAAAATGTTGAAAATTGAGAGAGTTATGATTTTCGCAATATCGAGAAAACAATTGACCGATAATTCGTTTCACTATGAAATTTTCAGGTAATTTGCACTTTCGGAGATCTTCTTCAAAGAATTTGATTTCGACCCAAACATATGAAATGTAGAGGATGTCAAGGCGATTTTAATGCCTAAATAACAACTCAAAAATCATTTTCCGGATGAAAGTTATAAATTTTTGAAGTCACACTGCGAAGTACTACTTTTTTGTTCAAACTGTTCCGAATTGATTGAAACACTTGATTTTCTCTATAATTCAAGGCATGATGGAACACATGAGAACTTAACATGATGAGGACTTGGATTCTCACTGATTAGGTAGCCTGGAGAATGTTGAGTGCATTGGATGACGAAATAAACGTCTCATGTAACCTGACGAGGCTTAAAAGAAATACCTTGATCCCATGACCGTAGAACCAATGATATGTATGCATGCATATGATGATAAAATATAAGCCAAATAAAGTTGAAATTAGGAGGACAATTGGGGTGCAACAACCTAGAGGTGGAAAAATGGGCCCGGCCTGTTGGGCATGCCCGTTTTGCCTGCACTTTAGTATGGGGCGGGCCCAAGGGTTTAGGCCCTCACCCTCTAATGTGTCCGTCCTGCGCCACTTCGTTTTATACTAGAGCTTTTGCGAGCACGTGCATTTACATAAATTTTTTGTGTTTTTAGGCTTAAAAGATGCAGTGCCCGCAGGCTTTTCTCGTTCCACCCTCACTTTTTTGTCAGGCGGAGATAGATTTTAGGCCTGCATCCTCAATAATACCCGCCCCGCCCCCCTCTGTTTTTTGTGGGCTTTTGCGGAGCGGGCCTAAACGTGGAAGGTATGCCCATTTTCCACCCTTATAATAACCTCCCACAATTCTCAACCTAATATTCTCAGCTCGGTAACACTCACCAACCTAATTGGGCATTATCAACCTTGTCTAGATGGCACCCGAACAAAGAATAATTATGTGTAATTTGTTAGTGTGTATTCATAGGTTGGAGGTTGAAGATGAAGAACAATGGTGGTAAGTGTTTATATTTTTATTAAGTTGGAAAGATGCACGAATAATGTATTTATAGTTGTGGAAGTTTGTATGCAAAGAAGTAATTTTCGAAATTAAAACAATTTGAAAAATTGACCCAAACAAACAGTATGTGTCGGCCTGAAATATGAATTTGCCGACACATAGAGCTGAAAACAACACTATGTGCCGATCTGAAAAGGCTTATGTGTTGGCCTATACAAACAGAAGTTGCAACCTTCAATATTGAGGCAGATGTGTCGGCCTGAAGGTTGTATGTGCCGACACATAGAACTGAAACTTACAGTATGTACCGGACTGAAGACGACATGTGTCGACCTGTACAAAATAGAAGCTACATGCTTCATTATTGAGTTACATGTGTCGGTCTGAAAATCGTATGTGCCAGCACATGCATGTGATTTTTGTGCAGAAAATAATTTTTGATATTTTTGGCCAATTTCTTGGTGGTTTTGAATGATTTCTAAGACCTCTAATTCAAGAGTACACTATATGACATAGAGATACCATTCAATATACATAAATGTTAAATTTTCCTAATTTTAAATCACTCAAAACATCTAACGGTGAGGTTACACTCACATTGGTGAAGAAGTAATGCCACCTCAGATGCCACACGTGCAATATTAAACGTTGTTTCTAAAAATTGACAGAAATGACTATTATCAAATTATTCGATTATATAAAAGATCAAATTAATCGTTTTAAAAAAAGACCAAAATAATTCTTCACGTATAGGTGAAAGATTAAAAAAATATTAAACTTAAAAACATTTACACATAAATATTTTTTGAATTATAAATAAAAAAGGAGTAAAAATTGTTTAAAAATAAATTAATTTGATGAATGAATCATAATAGAGAGACCTAAACATATAATTTAGCTAAATTTAATGGACGTTTCCGTGAGTAAGCACTAATCTTTTAATAGTTGAAGAAAATATATTTGAAAAGATAAATAATAAATTAACTAAGAGGTCTCTCATCGATTGTTTCTCTAGTTGACACATGGCAAACTAAAAAATCAACGGTTGTAACTTAAAATTAATTTGTAAAATAAAATGAATAAAATAAGAAAAAAAGGTAACCCTTTTCTTCAACCTGAAAGTCTCCAAAAGAGTCCTTCAAACACCGCCGCCGCACCTCCCTAATGCCAACTCACACCGCCGCCGCACTACCGCCGCACCTCCCTAATGCCCACTCACACCGACGTATTCAAACCCCGCAGATGAATAGCGTCTCAGGTGAAATTCCTAAGATTAATGTTTTTCTCCATTTATCGTTATTGCATTAGAAGTTTCACTCTTTTGAAATTTGTTTTCAATTTTCAATTTTCTATCAATATTATTAGTTTATTGCTACACAAGTTGAGTTGATTCTATTATTTTATGTTTTTTCTTTTGGTTTAGTCAATGAGTTCCAATCCACATAGTAAACTGACTAATCTTGTATCGTGGTTCAGAGGGACGACTCGTTTATTTTTTTTTATAGAAAACATGAATGTGTCAACAATTCCAATAGTTGAAGATGTAGAGAAATGTGTAAACAATAAGGTTGTTGATTATACTTATACTTATACACCACATTTAGAAATGGAGTTTGAATCTGAGGCCGTGGCGTATGAGTTTTATAATGAGTATAGTAGGGTAACTGGATTTGGTATTCGTCGAGAATATGGAAATAAAAGTAGAAGAGACGGAACTTTGACTTCGAGAAGATTCACGTGCTTTAAAGAGGGTAATCGGAGCGTTGACAAAAGAAGCAACTTGATAAAAGAGGGTAAAGAGGGTAGAGTAGAAACTAGAACGGGATGTCACGCTCGTATGGTTATTTCACTTGATCGAAAGATTGGAAGATATAAGGTTGTTGACTTTGTAGCTCAACATAATCATGCTCTTCTACCGCCGGGGTATGTTAATATGGTTCGCTCCCATCGACGCTTATCTGAGTCACAGACGTCTGAAATTGTGGTAGGTGAGAAGTCTAGGTTAAAACAAAAAGTTTTTCGAAAAGAAGTTTCTAAGCAAGTTGATGGAATGGATGATATTGGTTATACAAGACAAGGAAGTAAGAGTTATCTTCCGACTAGAAGGACGCGGTCGCTAATGTATGGTGAAGTCGGTGATTTGTTGATGTATTTCAAACGACAAAGTGAAAATCCTTCGTTCTTTTATGATTTTCAATTAGACGTTGAAGAGCAGATAACAAATATATTTTGGGCGGATGCACAGATGATAAATGACTATGGATGCTTTGGTGATGTGGTCACTTTTGATACAACATACCAGTTGAATAAGGATTATCGGCCGTTGGGAGTATTTGTTGGGCTAAATAATCACAAGCAAATGGTTGTTTTTGGTGCAACGTTGCTATATGATGAAACAATTTCTTCTTTTCAATGGTTATTTGAAACTTTTCTCCAAGCAATGGGTGGAGAAAAGCCTAAAACCATTCTAACTGATCAAGATGCAGCAATGGCCACAGCTATTTCTTTAGTTATGCCAGAAACATTTCATGGATTGTGCACTTGGCATATAAGAGCAAATGCCATGAGGCATGTGGACCATCTCTATCAAAAGGGTTCACAATTTTGCTCGGATTTTGAAGCATGCATTGATCTACATGAAGAGGAAGGTGAGTTTTTGACCGCATGGAATGTTTTACTTGTTGAACATAATGTTTCTAAAGATTCATGGCTTCATACAATTTTTCAACTGAAGGAAAAATGGGCATGGGCGTATGTTAGGAAAAAATTCACAGCAAGTATGCGATCTTTTCAATTAAGTGAGAGTTTTAATTCTGAGTTGAAAAATCATTTGAAGTCAGATTTAAATTTAGTACAATTTTTCACACATTTTGAAAGAGTTGTTAGTAAACAACGGAACAATGAGTCAGAAGCCGTTTACGAGTCAAGACACGAGTTGCCTAAATTAAAAATGAAAAGGGCTCCTATGCTTATACAAGCCGGAAACATTTACACTCCAACAATCTTTGAAGAATTTCAAGAAGAGTATGAAGAATATCTAGGCACTTGCGTAAAGAATTTGGAAGAAGGATCGTATGTTGTTACAAACTATGATAATAGTAAGGAGCGGACAGTAATAGGGAATCTCGTAGATCAAAAGGTTGAATGTGATTGTCATAAATTTGAGACGTATGGCATCTTATGCAGTCATGCTTTAAAAGTTTTAGATGTTATGAATATTAAGTTAATTCCTCAACACTATATATTGAAGCGGTGGACAAGAGATGCAAGGCTAGGAAGTAATCAAGATTTAAAAAGGCAACATATTGAATTGGATATAAAAGCCCATTTCATGCAGCGGTACAATGAGTTATGTCCTCGAATCGTTAAGTTGATCAACAAAGCATCAGAATCTCATGAAACTTACACATTTTTGTCCAAAGTTTATGAAGAGTCTGATAGAACAATTGATTATATGTTGGCTAAAAAGTTTGTGGCAGGAGAATCACTTGATATGCGTCATGCATCGATGTCGATTGGCAATGAAAAAATTGACAGCAATGTGGAAACTGTTGATGTTGGTGGAGAAAAGAGTATAAAGAAGCTGAGATTGTTCAAATAACGCAGAAAAAAAGTGTTGGCCATAATTGAGTTGGCCCAGTTTTGTTTACTCAGGTCACAGCATCCAGGAGATTGGATAGCAGCATCAACAGCAGCAACATTACACATCTTTCAGAGTTATGAATTCAAGATGATGTTCTTGTGAATTCTCTGATGAAATGAAAGTCGTCGCTTCCTACTCCTCTTGTATTGATGCGCAATTCTGATCTTTATTATCTAAAAAATGCTTGAAAGGAAAGTGGCTTCAGCGTCTCATTTCTCTTGAAAACCTTGAGATTTCAGATTGTCGCCAGCTTGAATCTTTACCAGAAAAAGGACTGTCTGCCTCTCATCAGGTGAGTTGCCTAAAATGATGTTTCATGTCTGCTTTTTTCCATTACATTTCAGCTTTATGTCATTTGATGTACTTCGTTCTATAGCCACTGTTGAATACTATGTCATGAAATTAAATTATTTTTTTCAGAATTTCTACCAGTTATAACAAATAGCCAAGAAAGAAGCCAGCTATGATGGTTCACAAGACTTGCTTTCCAATAAGTTCTATCAAGTTGGATGAAGCTATCTATAGTGTTTGGTCTCAAATCATGGAAATGTACATTGCTGCCAAAGAGATGTATCAATTTAATGTTTGACAATTTGATGACTCATTTCATGAAATGCAAAATGTATTGGTTTTATTTGGAGTGAAAATGAATGTAAATTACATACTCTCACTAGGTTGAGCTTGCTGAAAGAGAAGAAAATGAAAATTAAATACATTATTTATTATTATTTAGATGTTTAGGTTTATTATAATTAATAATATTAGTTGAGCTTTTTCATTATAGTTTTAAACCTTTTCTTCTTCTTCTTTTCAAGTAGTGTGACTATTAGTCACTTTAAGAAGAATTACACTCCTAATAGTATGAAAAGACTAAATTACCTCCGATCTAAATATTTTCTAGAAATTTGAAATTGCTGTGATCAATCGGAATTTTTCAAATCTTTGTGGTGATATCGGAAATTTCAAGACGACACCAAAAATTTAGCGTGACAGTAAGGAATATCGCTATATTTGCGAAATATACGGTATTTTGTAACGGAATTTTCAAAAAATTTAATATTTTCGTACTGGAAATTTTGAAATTTCTAGTGTAAACATTTTCTTTTTGTACCAGAAATTTTAAAATTTCCGGGACTTTACAGGATATCAGAATTTTTGAAATTTTTGATAGTTCATTTTTTTTTGAAAAATACTGGAAACTTAGAAATTTCCGGTACTTCATATTTTTCTAATTTTTTTTAATTTTGCAGTGAGGACCAGGGGCAAAGACGGTATCGTTGTGGGAAGGCAAACTGATAGAGTGGAACCTCAGGTCCGGGTTGATGAGGCACAACTTTCGAGCTACGGGCTGACCGACGTCCTCTGATCGGTTCTCACCAGAAACGGATGGCTGAGCAGCATGCTCAGTTTCACGCACCCCGCCGCCGGGGATTGCAAGTTTTCACTATTGAGGAGCCAGCTGCAGAACATATTATGGAGCCAGTTGTTGTGGAGGTACATGCTTCTATTCATGTTGTGGAGCCCGATGCTGCGGAGGTACATGTTCTTGTTCTTGTTGTGGAGCCGACAACTGCAGAGATTATTGAGGAGGTACATGTTTATGTTCCTGTTGTGGAGCCGGAGATTGAGCAGGGTTTGGAGCAGGAGGTTGTGGCTGAGTGCGTTGACGAGGTGTTCCCCACTGATACAAACACCATGACTTGTGCGTCTACAGAGCTATCAGTACACACAAATGGAGTGTTTCTGGAGGACCTTCAGACAGGTCTGTGCTGACAAGATTTGCTGACCATGTCGCCTACAAGATATAACATGGCGAGGTATATATTTGGTTTTTTTTAATTGCATAATTTTTATTTTTGCCTACAAAATGTTTACAAGATTTGATGTATAATATTTTGTTTTTGCTTCTTACAGGAGTGTCCAGTGTTGAAGGTCGCTTCTCATGGTTCGAAGTAGAAGAACTTCCCCGAGAGTTCAATGTCTGAGGAGGTCAGGAGTATCATTAGAAATTTTCACCTGCTGGAGTTTGTTGAGTGCTCCTTTACCATGTTGGACGCCTCGTTGTTATCTGCTTTTGTTGAGAGGTGGCACCCAGAGACATCGTCTTTTCATCTTTTATTTGGGGAGATGATTGTCACATTAGATGATGTCGACTAGTTGTTTCACATTCCAGTTGCTGGTATATTCTTCACACTAGTGGTTATTAACCATGTGACGGCGGTGCACATGGTTGTGGATGATTTGGAGGTGTCTGAGGCGGACGTGCTAAAGGATTTTGGTGAAACCCGACGATTTCACCTTCTGATGTTCTGGCTAAGGAAGTTGTATGGGGATCTTGTGGAGGCATGTAGGTACCAGGGTGTCGCTAGGGCGTACATGCTACATCTGGTTGCATGTACTCTCTTTGCGGACAAGTCTGGAGGTTACATTGATGTTCGGTACATGTTTCTGTTCAACACACTTGACACTCTATGTTGGGAGTGACAACCTTGACCATGTTGTACACGACACTTGATGTTGCTTCTCATGCTGATACCAGGAAGCTTGCTAGTTACCTTAGCCTGTTACATGTACACTAGATTTTATTTGATGCCTTTTATTAGTTATTTGGGTGTATTTATTTGATGGTTTTATTTATGCAATGTTGGATATATGAGCATTTCCCTCACATCTGTGAGCGTAAGATCCAGCGTGTATCGGCTACCGTTCCATGTGTGAGGAGATGGAAAGACAAGCATGCCCATCCAGGAGGTTTGATGGAGTACAGGAGGAGGCTAGATGCAGTGACGTTAGAGGATGTCGTCTGGATACCATATACATGTCATCGCCCTCATTGTCCATTTGAGGTGTCTACTTTGTATTTAGGACATATTAGATGGGAGAGCCACGTGGCTAGACACTTGCCTGAGAGGTGTCTACGCCAGTATGGTTATGTGCAGGGCATCCCTCGTCCAGTTCCAGAGACTCTAGCTGGTGGCATTGATAGATGGTTTCAGAGTCACATCCTCAGCTCCACCTGTGAGATCATGGATACAACCGTTGAGGTTCAGCATCCTCGGAAGTGCGAGGATGGATACCTGATGTAGTTTTACAGTGTGTCACACCTTCAGGTCATACCACCGGCTGCAGTATCTGATGTTTCAGGGCCTTCACGTGCCAGAGTTTCTGCCGAGCCACTACCACCACCCCACCTCCCGCAGGTGATCAGGACAACCGCCTATAATTCATCGTTGTTCATTTAGATAGCCACATGGGTTTGGTAAACCCTGATGGTGACGTCTATACAGGTTTAGCTAGGTTAGCCGACATAGTCTGTGAAAGGTCTATGTAGATTTGATTTATTATGGTTGTATTATATGCATATTTTATGACACATATACATCTTATTTATTGCATAATCTCTTGGCGATTACATGTTTCGATTCGATGAAGAACATAATTGAAAATCTGATATTCAGATCTTAGATGTCCTAAAAGATGTTGAGACACCTTTCTATGAACAAACACACAATGACAAGGTATATGATAAACAAAGTGTAGAAAAATAAATAACACACGAGATTGTTAATTCAGTTCGGTGTACACCAACACCTACTCTAGAGGCTACCAAGTCAGGGATAAAGTTAACTAAAATAGTATCAATTCGAAGCTAAATTCCCATGTTTACAACTTCTCACTTATTCACTACCCTTACTTAACTTCTACCTAAGACTCACTTAGGTATGAGACCTGTCTAAAATCCCTTTCAATCACAAACCAGTGACTGACCAATTCTAAATACTTAGAAAAAAAATACATAAGTCACACTTCAAAGACACACAATCATTCACTGCTTAAAAGCTTTAGAATGACAAACATAACTTATAACTAAAAAACAAAGTCCTACTCTTTCATCAATATGATAATCGAGAGGCTCACAACAAACATACAATCCCAAATGAAATTACACGGTAAGTTCCCCCTTGCATTAGGGTTGAAGCCTTCTATTTATAAACTTCCATGAATTGAATTTGGACTTCACATATGCCCCTGGATATGACAGAGGCGCTGCAGAATTATCTCCTCAAACATAGGACATCAATCATTAGTTTCCTTAATTATCTCCATAATTAGAAACTAACAATTCTCCTTGAAATCAACTTGAATCTTTTTAAATATTCAAACTGTGCGCCACATAGGATAGATAATATTTTACACAATATTCGGCACCTTTAACAAACTAAAAAATCCAACAGTCCAGCTGTACAAAATCACGATGTCGAAAGAACCAGCATATGACATTATATTCGACGTGTTACTCTAGTTAATAGAAGATATTCATTCAACATGTCTAAGTTAAGTTAGGTTTACCGAACATAATGCCAATCATAATAAACAGAGAAATAACAATCTCTTCCTTTGGCTTATTTTGGTTAAAACAACTTAGCACATCTTCACATCTTCCACACAAACAACAATAGCTCAGGTTTGAGAAGCACCTTACACATACAATCAGAGACACAACAAAAGCAGAAGTCAGAACAACAACACAAAGAGAATTCTCCCCCTCAAAGGCCCATATAGCACAATTAGTGCAGTTAGTGTAGTTAGTTATCCTACTCCCCATTTTTAGTCAGAATATGACAAATGTATAGTATCCCAAAAATAAAATGTCATATGATACACAAGGTGCACAAAATAAGTTTGGGTATCATGACCCTTACAGATCCGAAAACCAAATACAAATAAAACATCAAACACAAAAAAATCTTGAGGAGACAGATTATGCATCAACATTTACATCATCAGTAGACTCATACATCTCTTCTTCTTCACCAGCATTGTCACCACTAGAAGCACTCTCACCGATTTCATCATCATTCGAAGAATTATGATTACTAGCCGTATCAGCATCATCAAATTCATTCTTAGCAGTAATATTGTCATCTTCAGTTTCCTTACTTCCAGAATCAACAACA